TTGTATAACTTGGAGAGGACGTTTAGAACAATTTCTCGTATTAAATTATTTTATAGTAAACGTAGGACTTAATGTGACTTTTGAATGGTTCCCCACTATAATACCACGCAGTCAATAATAATAATAATGATAATAATAATAATAATAATAATTATAATCTGTCTTTAATAAATCAGGAACAACAAACGTGTAACTTTACAATATGAGAAAATTATAAATATAACTAAGAATATATGAAAAACTGTAACATTGTAACATTATGAAGTTCCTTATAGACGGTGAATTTAATTGAAGAAGCATTTGTTAAGGAAACAATGCTTGAAGATTCTCATTGAGTTTCCTTAAACCCCCTCTTCACGAAAAAACTCGGACCAAAAACAAAAAGAAGAGGGGGCATATATCGAAAGTTTAAAGCTTGACGGTGGACGTTCCTTGTACTAGAGCAATAGCCGGGAATCGAGCCAGTTTTTTTAACTTAATACTTCCAGTTCTTAGCATCGTGAGTCTCCTGAGACGGCAAATAGAAATATATAACTAACGTAAATGTGCTAAAATAACTGACCAATTAAAAGAGTTTGTTCTTCTCGTGCGGAGAAAGACACAGAGAAGTACTGTGCAAATAAAGATAAATACTGTGCAAATTAGTGATGAAAACTGTTCATTAACTTTGTATATGATCGATTATTAGAAGCGGGTTTTCTTTTCCTGTAGAAAACGAAATTGTGACAAAAATAGCATGCAGTGTAGTTGAGAATCCACCGAATTAGTCTTAACGGAGATATTTCCTTTTGCCACGCTCTGTAGATTGTTTCCCTAAAACTGAAACCATATTTATTACAATCAAAATTAATTAATTATATATTCCACGGTCCTTGATTTCGGAAGTGTTTGTTTAGCGAATTCTTGATATTTCAATAACACCAACCAGTACTTATTACCTTTTGTCAACTCAACTATAAAACCACGTGTTTACATAACAATGACCAACAATGCCTACCTAAGTGGTTGAATATACATCTCACCATGGCAACATCTCGCTATGTGGTTTACAAACAGTAAACGCGCTAGTTTTACAATAACGAAGTAATTGATAGAAGTACTGCAAGGTCGACGCAAAATGTCCGACGACAGACTGTTTGCGACGAGTTA